ACGGTTTGAAATGCAACACCCCCTGCAGTTACAACTGTGAACTTGCAAATTGTGATCATAACGGAACGTGCATGGCGTGCTTGGGTGGGTTTCATGGCGACCAATGCAACAAAAACTGTTCTGCTGGATGTGCCACGAGACAGTGTAACAGAGATAGCAATGTAAAGTGCCTTAATACAAGTTGTAGTCAGACCTCTGGGGAATGTGACTATGGTTGTGTAACGGGCTGGTATGGAGCCACGTGTAGTGACACATGTCCGGACAACTGTTCTGATGATACATGCAACAGAGACGGTGGATCGTGTCTATCTTGTAGGGAGGGGTTCAGAGGGACACACTGTAACATGTCATGTCCTCCAGATTGTGTTGAATGTCAGCAGAATGCCAGTAACTGCACATCATGTGAACCTGGTTATTTTGGAAACACGTGTGAAAAAGAGTGCGACGGTTGCCTGGATGGGAGGTGTAACATCACAGATGGGTTCTGCATAGCCGGTTGTAAACCAAGCTTGTATGGACGAGAATGCCAGTTTAATTGCAGCAGAAATTGTTTGAGGCAAAATGAAGTCTCATCGTGTTTTCAAAGCAACGGAACCTGTGTTTACGGTTGTAACACTGGATGGTACAAGGCAGAGTGTGATATTCCATGTCCACCAGGGTGTAGCGGGACTACGTGTGATGACTTCACTGGCAGATGTTCAAATGGTTGCACAGATGCACTGTATGGTCCACACTGTAATCAGTCATGTCGCTGTCTGATGTCCCGATGTAACGCGACGGGCTTATGTACGGGGTGTCAGAATGGCTACTATGGCCAGAGCTGTTCTTCAACATGTCCATCGAGATGTGATACCTGTGAGCAGAACACCGGCGACTGTGTTACTTGTGTGGAAGGCTGGCACGGTCACCTGTGCAAAGGTAAGAAGATTGATGTGCTGATATTAGAGTCAAGTCTTAGTTGTTCAAGCTACTGATCGATCATTTCTGAAAAGGTTTAAAATTTACATTCAGGATATTGTCCCGTTTATTTTAAGTCATCGACAATTAGGCCCAGATGGACCCATATTGTCATCTCTGCGTCTGTAATTTGTCATTTAAGCTAAAGGGCCTGTATCACACTACCGATGTACCTCGCCGGGACTAAACCGGAGCAAATATTTAACAATGGCGAGAAAATCGGCGGAGCTCCGGCGAGAAAGCACTTGAAAAATCAAAATTGATAGTAGCAATACCGATGTAGTACCGGCGTTCCCGTTGTTCTACCTTTGTCCTACCGATGTAAGAGCCGATGTGCTACAGAATACCACTTTTCTGTCAACTTAGTGTTACCGATGCGCCGCTGATGTTATACCGATGTACCATCGTTGACCGGAGCTATAGCGGAGTGATACAGTTGCGCTGCCGACGCACTACCGATGTGCTACTATGTGTACATCGGAAGGACAACGGTGTGACGGTGGAACTCCGGTTTCACATCGGCGGCGCATCGGTACTACTTCGGTGGTATTCGGTAGTACTACGGTATCACATCGGTACCAGTACTGTACACATTGAGGCCACCGGAGAGCCGGTTCTTATACGTGATATCGTTGCGCTGCCGTACTTGTACCTATCCCCGAAAATCGCCAAATTTGTGCTCTGGTATAGCTCCGGCGACCCAAATCGGCTAGGTGTGACAGGCCCTTAAGCCAGTGAATCATTATTGTAACCCACTGTCTGGAGAATGTGAAAACTGTAAACGGGACAGGTATACCAGATCCTGTGAAGAGACATGTGCCAACTGTAATAACTGCATAAATACATCCTCAAACTGTCACCGAACAACTGGAACCTGTCTGTGTGGTTGTAGACCAGGCCTCTGTGGAGGTGCATGTGAACGACGCTGCCTTGCCAACTGTAGATTCAAGACATGTAATTCCTCTGGAATCTGTGTTGATGGTTGTAAGGAAGGATACTTCGGACCAAAATGTGATAAAAAATGTGGAGAATGTGTTAATCAATCTTGTTCAAGAATAGGTACATGTTTGAAAGGTTGCAACAGTGGATGGCACGGTTTGAAATGCAACACCCCCTGCAGTTACAACTGTGAACATTTAAATTGTCATCAGAACGGAACATGCATGGCGTGCTTGGGTGGGTTTCATGGCGACCAATGCAACAAAAACTGTGCCACGAGACAGTGTAACAGAGATAGCAATGTAAAGTGCCTTAATACAAGTTGTAGTCAGACCTCTGGGGAATGTGACTATGGTTGTGTATCGGGCTGGTATGGAGCCACGTGTAGTGACACATGTCCGGACAACTGTTCTGATGATACATGCAACAGAGACGGTGGATCGTGTCTATCTTGTAGGGAGGGATTCAGAGGGACACACTGTAACATGTCATGTCCTCCACATTGTGTTGAATGTCAGCAGAATGCCAGTAACTGCACACCATGTGAGCCTGGTTATTTCGGAAACACGTGTGAGAAAGAGTGTGACGGTTGCCTGGATGGGAGGTGTAATATCACAGATGGGTTCTGCATGGCCGGTTGTAAACCAAGCTTGTATGGACGAGAATGTCGGTTCAATTGCAGCAGAAATTGTTTGTGGCAAAATGATGTCTCATCGTGTTTTCCAAGTAACGGAACCTGTGTTTACGGTTGTAACACTGGATGGTACAAGGCAGAGTGTGATACTCCATGTCCACCAGGGTGTAGCGGGACTACGTGTGATGACTTCACTGGCAGATGTTCAAACGGTTGCATAGATGCACTGCATGGTCCACACTGTAATCACACATGTAGCAGCAACTGCAGGAATAGTAGCTGTCAAATGGATAGCGCTAACAGAACTGTACTGTCCTGTACAGTTGGATGTGAAGATGGCATGTGGGGCGACTACTGTGCCAGTACCTGCCCTGGCCACTGTCCAAAATGCAACAGAACCTTTGGTTCCTGTGTGAAACGTGAGAACCATAGATACCTTATATAGATAGAAGGATTGACACACTAGAGCTCGGCACGCCGACTGTCATACAAAATGTTTAAACGACCAATAATAAAATATTCCTATCTGTTCTCAGTACATGAATATGCTCGATAGTCAGTAGAAAGCGTTAACCCTCCATGTACTTAAAATAAACTGTTAGTAAAGATTAGTATTGATCTGCACATCGTGACGTCACATTTTCCACTTTTCCCTTTAACTTTAAATGTTGACCAAATGCAGGTATGGCTTGTATTAAACTAATTAGGATTTATGCAAACAAGATGTAATGAGCGAGAGCGGAACCAAAACAGTAGATCAAGACAGTAGTTTCTTGTATCTATCGTGGGGGCGGTCGGGTAGCCCATTGGTTAAAGCGTTCGCTCGTCACGCCGAAGACCTGGGTTCGATTCCCGACATGGGTACAATGTGTGAAGCCCTTTCATGGCATCCCCCGCCGTGATATTGCTGGAATATTGCTTAAAGCGGCGTAAAACCATACTCACTCACTCACTCACTGTATCCATCGTGGTACGTCGAGAGATCATGCATTGTCACAGCAATCATCAGGCTCTATAACGGGTTTGGCTTTATAGTGACGAGGCTAATAAAATGAAGTATATTTTGATATTATTTGAAAACAGATATGGTTTTTTGATATTTTGGCACCACTTCTTTGCATGAAACATTTATATTGACGAAAACTATAACATATACACGTAAACATTAAGAGACCAAAAGTAACTCCAGTTCAGATAGTGTTTAGAGGTAAAATAATGTACATTTGAGTTAATTTATTTAGGAATATACTGAGGAAGTATTAAGATGATGGGCAACAAGCATTTATACATAACGTCTGCATGTACTTAACGTTTTATCAGATAGGTATTTCTAAAATCTTTGTTACATAATGTAACTGTACGAATGAAAAATGACGTGTGCATTTTATTGCGCTAGCACTTGTTAATATTGGGAAATCGTTGACCATGTTAACAGTTTCGGTTAAGTAATGTGGTTAGAATATTAAATACATTTTAGCTACACATCTAGGTTAATAGTTTATTCATTAGGAAACAATACAATATGTGCATGTTGGTGTGATATGTTTACTGCAAATAGATGAGAACGTGCTCATTTATGTATTTCCCTCAGGGTCACTTCATGGATGACGTCAGAGAGTTTCATGTCACGCAACGCAGTTACAATGCAGTGACGATAATTAAAAAAGCGTTGAGGCACTGCTCGCATAAGCATTCGCACATGTCCTAAAATGGGAAATAACATGATTTTTGTGTAAAGGAAAATATTCTCGCCCATGGGCCAAACCTTTTTCTCGCCAATGGGCGAAATATTTCAATATCGCTATAAAATCGTTGAATTAAGCTAAAATGAGTTAAATTTTGTGTCATGATACTTGAAGGAAAACAAGTTAAGTATTTGCCAAACAAAAACATGAGTTTTGTGTAAAGGAAAATATTCTCGCCCATGGGCCAAGCCTTTTTCTCGCCCATGGGCGAAATATTTCAATATCGCTATAAAATCGTTGAATTAAGTTAAAATGAGTTAATTTTGTGTCATGATACTTGAAGGAATACATCTACGTATTTGCCAAACAAAAACATGAGTTTTGAGTAAAGGAAAATATTCTCGCCCATGGGCCAAGCCTTTTTCTCGCCCATGGGCGAAATATTTCAATATCGCTATAAAATCGTTGAATTAAGTTAAAACGAGTTAAATTTTGTGTCATGATACTTGAAGGAATGCATTAAAATATATTTGCGAAACAAACACATAAGTTTTGTGTAATGGAAAATATTCTCGCCCATGCATGGGCGAAATATTTCAATATCGCTATAAAATCGTTGAATTAAGTTAAAATGAGTTAAATTTTGTGTATGATACTTGATGGAATACAAGTTAAGTATTTGCGAAACAAAAACATGAGTTTTGAGTAAAGGAAAATATTCTCGCCCATGGGCGAGATGGTGTAAATATTGAGTTTTTAAACTCTTTTTTTTCTTCTTTTTTTTTCCCTTAGTATGTTACCATGAAAACAGCATGCTTATTTTTGTAAATACCTTTGACCGAGACTGGGAAAAGACCGTAGATTTTCTGGACTTTTGGGTTTCCAGAATTAAAATTGGACGTGTTTTCTCTTTTTGTTTCATATGTAACACTGTATCATTTAAATTGGACTTTTAGTCTATGATTCACGGTTTCACTGCCACAGAAGGGTGACAGATTGACAGTATGACCTTAGAACACTCCCAAACTTGGCATTATGAACGAGCAGATGCCATAAAATCATAATGGTATATGCATAAATAGATTAAAGAAGTGAAATTAGACAATGTTCGCGAATCAACTTAATATTTTTACGAAATATTTATGTCCACTTATATCTCCAAAGAAAATTATCAAGTGTAAAATTTCTTCTAACATTGTACGATACCGACTATGTTATAAGTATGTGTCTAGGAATCACAATCAAATATTCAGTGAGGATACCAGGTGTTCAACATGAGGTCAGAAATTATTATCGAAAACTTTCCTTTACGAAAAAGTTGCTTATTTTTTCATTTATTTGAAGACACATTGCTCTAATCTTTCTACATTCTCAGCAACTATTCGTGCCGTGTCTTATGTTTCCATTTAGAACTGGGAATCTACAATAAATTCTTGCTCTTGATGAATATGCGCCAACAATGCAACGTTTGGTCCACAGACATAATTATTTAATGGAATGTGCCATAAAATATAAAGGATAAAAAACATATGTACAAAATATTACGCAATGCAATCATAACCTACGTTTGTCTTTTGTGGAAAGAAACAAATAACTTCTATAAATACTGTCGTGTATTTCATATCATGCATTACAGAAACACCTCAAACCAACACTGTTGTCCCTTGGCTGGTGGTTCTGTTTGTGATCATCATCATTCTTCTTATAATGGCTCTATTTGTCGTAAGAAGGTAAGAACAAACAAACCGCATGGTCAATCTTATCTCTAATACGAATAGAAACATGATTTCACAGCTGACCAAACCCAAGTGTCACAGTAACCGAAGACTTGCATCATGTGCAGTTTATTCTTACATTTTAATACTTTTTCAGGTTCTGGTACTGATTGTTATCCTGGGTTTTTTTTCAGGAATAAACCCCACAATATCCTGAAATGGAGATACACTGTCAGTCATTCTCCAAGCAGCACGACTGTAATGTCCCTAATCAATCCTTCGTATCAGTCGACGCCAAGAGGTAACTGGGTATTCGTGAATACACGGTCAATCATAAGATGACTTAAAAATGTCAGCATTTTTTTGGTATTAAGAATAACACAATGATGATCTTCTTTGAACAATATATAAAAACAAAATAGATTGCATTGTACTCACAGTTGCTATGATCTGTGTCCAATTGTGATAGTTGTGAAGGCGACTGTACTCCACTGGTTAAACATATCCAGTATAGGTCCAATTGTTCCGATTGGTGTCATGTGTGATGCTTAGACAGTATCTAGTTGTTTTAAAATATCGCTAAAACTGCCAACTCCTTATAATGTGTTTCAGGTTCCAGAACTCCTGAGGATTCTGACTACCAAGAGCTAGAGCCACTGACGAATACAGTCAGAGAGGATGATTACATCACACCAAAAGATACAGACGATGCTTACACACTTACGTCTAGAGCCAGTCACCTTATCTCCCCCAATGAGTCCGGTAATGATGGGGGATTTACACCTGACCGTAGTCCTCCTCCGTGTCATGTGACAGACGATTCACATCCGAACACCATGTTGTCAACAGAAGTGATGGTGCAAGGTCTGAGACTCTACGTCGAACAGATGAAGAGGAGTGGTGGTTTCACAACGCAGTGCTATGTATGTCAGTTCTTGATTCTATTTGAAGGCATGCAGGGTATGGTATATCAATCATTTACGAATACCTTCCCTACGTTTAAAGGTAGATTTAAAATTTTCAATTTCAGACTTATCCACATTAGTCTTTTGTGCATAATATATCCATATGTTATTGTTATTATATTATTATACTCAGTTAATAAAACCATATATATCTATAGCCATGATAATCATTCGTAAACACGAATACGTATGACCTTCAACGTTTTCTCACATTCACTGGTCATTCCTATTTCTGATATTTGAACATGACATGTATTAGAACCTTCCCTGTGGCAAGCTTGGCCCCTGTGACGAAGCCGAGTTACCAGAGAATGCTTCCAAAAACAGATACAGAAACGTATTACCCTGTAAGTATGAGTAGACTTGTTTCTACTATTACAGTAATACTATTACTATAACAGTAATACCATTACTATTACAGTAATACCATTAATATTACAGTAATACCATTAACCATAGAGTTTTGAGATACTGCTTTATGTACATGTCTCTCCGCCTGTTAAAGTGCATGCTTATCCGTGAAGTCTTTATTAATTAAACAAGAACAATTCAAGAAATTTGTATATGTGCAATTACAGATCCCTTGATACGCATCCAGTCTTGTGTGCAAGTGAATAGTCTTTAATTATTCATAAAGTACAATTCAAGAAATGTGCATATGTGCAATTACAGATCCCTTGATACAGTCTAGTGGATCTGGGTGCGTTTGTTACATTTTGATTACTCATAACACAGTGCAATACAACAACTTTAGTTGTTCTGACAGAAATGTGCATGTACATCACTTTGGCAGTCAGGAAGTGTGTCTGGTGTTTACACCACTGTCAGCAATGTTCCACTGCATCATGGTTGCATGCAAGTAATCGCGTCTGGACCAGACAAGCCAGTGATAGAATGCATGAGCAATGGTTTGGTTTGTTGTTTAACGCCGCACTCAGCAATATTCCAGCTATATGACGGCGGTCTGTAAATAATCGAGTCTGGACCAGACAATCCAGTGATTAATATCAGGAGCATCGATCCACGCAATTGGGATCGATGACATGCATCAACCAAGTCAGGGAGCCTGACCACCCGGTCCCGTTAGTCGCCTTTTTACGACAAGCATAGTCGCCTTTTACGGCAAGCGTCTCATGAGCGATGGTGAACGATGAAACATGACTCTTTGCACATCATCGACCATGATCAATGGAGCACGGTGGTGTGCAAAGAATCATGTTTCCGACTCATGACATCCCTGTCCTCCTTTGATCGGATCTTTCCACAATGATGGGATCCTTGAGATATATTCTTCCCCAGCATCATAAAGAGACCAGTAACACAGTAGGGTCATGTATGTAGTTCAGATACCTTTGTTCACCTTTGTCATCACTGATTTTCAGTTATCCATTCATAGACATGTAATGGGAATGACTCTTTAGCCTCTTACACCTAGTGAAATATGTTTCGGCAGGCGATTTATGTCATATGACGTATTGGTGTATTCGTTCTTTTCCAGATGATCATTGCCGAGTAAAGCTTTCCCCTATCTCCAACATCCCTGGTTCCGACTACATCAACGCTAGCTACATAAACGTAAGTTCTGGAGGTGACATGAACACGTTTCTTTACCTATCCTGCAAAATGGTTCACAGATGATTTGGATCATGTACGATAACGATAGAACAAACCAAGACTACTCTCAGCTATATATTGTGTAACACCTTTCTGGTTAGAATTATTTTTCAGCAGCCCATGCTTGTGAGAGGCGACTAAAGGGTTTGGGTGGCCAGGCTCACTGACTTCGTTTATACACGTCATTGTGTTTCAATTGCGTAAATCGACGCTCATGATGTCAATCATTAGATTTTCGGGTCTAGACTCGATTATTAAATGACCTGGACTGGACCTCATATTTTCCTGATGGTGTTAAACTTTATCACGCAACAGATGCCCTATTTGTTGCGTGAACCAACCCTCAGTAAGAGCAACGGCAGAGTTGTCACAACAGTACACAGATAACTGTGTCCGGTCTACCGCGAGGTCTGGTGCGGGATCAGTACCAACACATATGGAATAATGTCTGTCACTAGCCACCAAAATTTCTCAAAATTTGGCAACGTTCTGCAAGGACAGGGCCGTTCAAATAACAGTGACATACGTAGCTCAAATCAACAGCGACCTTCCATCTTCATCATACGGTTTAATCTGCAGTTTTCGCCCTCGTGATGCAACAATGAGAGACCAAACAGATGATGTATTCAATGTATTCAATTTTGCTATATACCAGATAACGCTCAGGATAATGTTGTGACTTCGACCGAGTCACCATTGTACAGTGCCTGATGTAAGGCACTGGAAATGTTATCCCAATGCCTTGTTATTGACACTAGTATTTCCTTGTTTCAGGGATACGGAGAGCCACGCACATTTGTAGCTACACAAGGTAATATTCCTAGCTTGATTGTTTCATGTCTACACAGTGAGTATCAATTCAAAGAGGAACTTGTTCCAGTTAAACATTTTGAACTAACATACTATTTTTAAGAAATAAACTTTCCTTCTACTTTTCCAGGACCTTATGGGGAAGTTATACGGGATTTCTGGAGGATGCTGTGGGAAATAGATGCCAGTAAACTAATCATGCTCACAAACTGTGTAGAAAACAGAAAGGTATTGAGCAGTGTCATATTCATTTATTCGCTCATGTAGATTCTCTTAAAAGAACATGTGTATAAGTCTTGTAGCATGACATGTCTGTTCTGAAGCCCTTGTTCTATAGTTTTATCATTATAGTTTTGTTTCTGGAAAGTAAACCTTTCTCCGCGTGATGATTTCGTGATACGGATACAACGTGATGTTAATATTAACATTGATAATGTTTATACTCAGTTTGATTTACATGTGGATGCTCAAAACACTAAACTCCTCTCGTTTTTTTTGAAGATTTAAAGTGAGCTAGTGTCAAATTCAGTTGAAGTTGCGCCCCAATCGCATTCAGTCGTTGTAAATCTATAGCAAAATAATAATTAAAACAAATTGAAATTGTTTCCATTGAGTTACGTTTTATAGGACTGGCATTTAATCCTCGCACTCCTTCATGTTTTCCAGGCGAAGTGTCAGAAGTACTGGCCTGACTTTGGACAGCCAGGTTCCAACTACGACGATGTCCATGTTCAGTGTGTGGCCGAGGAGGAGATGACGGACTACACAGTCAGGACGTTCTCTATACACAGGGTACTGATACATGTACATACAGTCTCTCCACTGTGAATAGCGAACATATCTCACAATCTTCATTTGATGGGAGATTTTCACTGCAAGAATAAAATATAAAACCCATGTGCTTTACAGGAGGCGGAGTTACCTAGGACACTGAAGCAGTACCACTTCACTGCATGGCCAGACAAAGGAGTACCAGAGGATGTCAGGGCGCTGGTGGACTTCCACAGACTGGTCAAGAACGCACCGTCGACTGGAAAAGGCCCAACCGTCGTCCATTGCAGGTACTATCGCCGTGATAAACTTTGTGGTAGGCACATGTATATATAGTGTGAAACAGCGGGTAAGGGGTTAACCCTTTGTCGTTCTATGGTGTCACTTTTACATTGTGGTGTCTTTGTATCCATGTTGGGAATTAAACCCATATGGTACCATTTGAATACACCAACATCTTCGTAAAATCTTGATACTAAACTGAATTTGTTGTGACCTTAGCCTTAATATTGCCCAATGTGGTACTTGTTATATATTTAGAAAAAAAGCATGCGTTCCTGGAGTATATATTCCTTGAGTAAGTTAGTTGTATTTATCAGCGCTGGTATAGGCCGGACAGGGACGTGGATCGCTCTGGACTATTTGATTGGACAAGCCAAGGTGGAAGGTGTGGTAGATGTCTTTGATTGCATTGCCAGGCTCCGGCACCAGCGTATGAATGTAATACAGACTGAGGTAAGAGGAGTTTTATGCACCAGTCTACACCAATTGAAAACATATATACAGTCAGACATCCATGTCTTTACTTTAATTCTCACGACACAATGAATATTGAATTCTTTCGATATAACTTATTAGTTTTTACTTGTTACACCAAGTCATATGTGTGGATTCCTTCACAAAACTATATTTTTTTCACCAGGACCAATACATATTTCTCCATGAGGCCCTAATGGAGGCGCTTCCATCATGTGACAGGAGACCCAGCCTTGTCGACAACGGTCATGGGGATTACGAAGTCTTGGGGGTAATTATATCTTGTCGTTTTATGCTGACCATACGTCTGTAATTTTCTTCAAATTCCAATTCCTTCCATAGGATTCAGTGGTCATACAAGTTATACATTCTACATCCAACTCGTACTACACAGCCCTGTCTCTAATTGTGTTAAAACTAAAATAGATATAAATTTTGAAGATATCTATGACTTTTATAGAAAAGACGTCAGCCGGCAAAGAACCCATTTTTGGATCAAGGTGTCGTAAATCACCATGGCAACGACGTACTACCAGAAGATCCCTTGCGCACCTATGACAAACTGTTGTTATCGCAGGTATGTTGTTTACCGCCGCATTAGTTCCAGCTATTCCACACCTCGGCCGGCCTGTAAATACTCAAGTCTTAAGCAGACAATCCAGTTATCAATAAAAATGTGAGCAACTTTCCATGAGATTTCATGTGTTTAGACCCTAAACGTGTTTAGATATAACACAAGAAATGTGTAAACACATTCATAAACATATTTACATCTAAACATAGCTTGAATGTGATTACATTCTGAAAACATTTTTAAAAATATTCCAACCCGGATTCCACCGCGTGGTATGACCCGCAAAGGTTGCTCAGGGATAACCCGGAATCCATCGCTGTGCACGACCAGCATAGGTTGCTGGGGACTTATTCTAACCCGGAATCCATCGCGTGGTACGACCAGCAAAGGCTGCTGGGGACCTATCCTGACGCGGAATCCACCACGTGGTACTACCAGCATAGGCTGCTGGGGACTTATCCTAACCCGGAACCCACCGCGTGATACGACCAGCATAGGTTGCTGGGGACCTATTCTAACCTGGAATCCACCGCGTGGTCCCACCAGCATAGGCTGCTGGGGACCTATACTAACCCGGAATCCACTGCGTGATACGACAAGCATAGGTTGCTTGGGACCTATTCTAACCCGAATCCACCGCGGTGTACCACCAGCATAGGCTGCTGGGTACCTATCCTTACCCGGAATCCACCGCGTGGTACGACCAGCATAGGCTGCTGGGGACCTATCCTAACCCGGAATCCATCACGTGGTACGACCAGCATAGGCTGCTGGGGACCTATTCTATCCCGGAATCCACCGCGTGATACGACCAGCATAGGCTGCTGGGGAGCTATTCTAACCCGGAATCCACCGCGTGATATGACCAGCATAGGCTGCTGGCGACCTGTTCTAACCCGGAATCCACCGCGTGGTACGACCAGAATAGGCTGCTGGGGACCTATTCTAAACCGGAATCCACCACGTGGTACAACCAGCATAGGCTGCTTGAGACCTATCCTGACCCGGAATCCGTCGAGTGGTACAACCAGCATAGGCTGCTGGGGACTTATTCTAACCCGGAATCCACCACGTGATACGACCAGCATAGGCCGCTGGAGACCTATCCTGACCCGGAATCCGTCGAGTGGTACGACCAGCATAGGCTGCTGGGGACCTATTCTAACCCGGAATCCACCGCGTGATACGACCAGCATAGGTTGCTGGGGACCTGTTCTAACCCGGAATCCACTGCATGATATGACCAGCATAGGCTGCTGGGGACTTGTTCTAACCGGAATCCACCGCGTGGTACGACCAGCATAGGCTGCTGGGGATCTATCCTAACCCGGAATCCGTCGCGTGGTACGACCAGCATAGGCTGCTGAGGATCTATCCTAACCCGGAATCCGTCGCATGGTAGGACCAGCATAGGTTGTTGGGGTTCTATTCGAACCCTGAATTCACCGCGTGATACGACCAGCATAGGCTGCTGGGGACCTGTTCTAACCTGGAATTCACCGCGTGATACGACCAGCATATACTGCTGGGGACCTGTTCTAACCCAGAATCCGCCGCGTGGTACGACCAGCATAGGCTGCTGGGGACCTATCCTGACGCAGAATCCACCACTTGGTACGACCAGCATAGGCTGCTGGGGACCTATCCTAACCCGGAACCCACTGCGTGGAACGACCAGCATAGGCTGCTTGGGACCTATTCTAACCCGGAATCCATCGCGTGGTACGACCAGCATAGGCTGCTGGGGATCTATCCTAACCCGGAATCTACCACGTGTTACGACCAGCATAGGCTGCTGGGGATCTTTCCTAACCTGGAATCCGTCGCATGGTACGACCAGCATAGGCTGCTGGGGATCTATCCTAACCCGGAATCCGTCGCATGGTACGACCAGCATAGGTTGTTGGGGACCTATTCGAACCCTGAATTCACCGCGTGATACGACCAGCATAGGCTGCTGGGGACCTGTTCTAACCCAGAATTCACCGCGTGATACGACCAGCATAGGCTGCTGGGGATCTATCCTAACCCGGAATCCACCACTTGTTACGACCAGCATAGGCTGCTGGGGATCTATCCTAACCCGGAATCCACCGCGTGGTATGACCACCATAGGCTGCTGGGGATCTATCCTAACCCGGAATCCACCACTTGTTACGACCAGCATAGGCTGCTGGGGACCTGTTCTAACCCAGAATCGGGGCGGTGGGTAGCCTGGTGGTTAAATCGTTCGCTCGTCACGCCGAAGACCCTGGTTCGATTCCCGACATGGGTACAATGTGTGAAGCCCATTTCTGGTGTCCCCCGCCGTGATGTTGCTGGAATATTGCTAAAAGCGGCGTAAAACCATACTCACTCACTCACTCTAACCCAGAATCCACCGCGTGGTACGACCAGCATAGGTTGCTAGGGACCTATTCGAACCCTGAATTCACCGCGTGATACGACCAGCATAGGCTGCTGGGGACCTATTCTAACCCGGTGTCCTCACGGTGTCTTTGCATGTAACACGTAACACTGGTGCACTTCCACATGCATACAGAGTATGTATGCCAGGGTACACATTGTTCTCTGTACACTAGCCTTAGGGTAAAGTATCACTGATACTGCGAACATATTACATAAGCTGTTGAGAGAGGACAATATTTTATGACTGTCTCCTATAGCATATTCTCTTACCCGACGGCAGTCATCTATGCTCTGACTATCGTCCACTAAATTGTTAAGGCTGTACATCACTCAGGCCACTATGATGGTTCAAATATGGAGGATGTAGCGACGATATCAATTGTTAATTGCTTTATATTCAGCAATAAATTAATTATTTTTTAGTGTTATTTTATATTTTATTTAAATGAAGACTCCCCCTCGTATTTTTATAGAGTGCTTTTCCCAGACAACAATGACATGAGTGGCAAAGATGCCAAGAGTGAAATATTTAGCCAGTATTAAGCACTGCAAACAGTAGACCCTGCATTTGATCAGTATATCTCGCAGTATGGTTGACCTCATGTGTTATAATTCTGTTGTCATTACAGGGCAGATTCAACTGATCTTGACGACAGCCAATCCAGTGTACGTTTCCATAACCCTGCCAGTGGTATCATCCGCTGAAGACGAGAGGCCTTGACGCATATCCAATCTCTTCTCTTCCAGTCTTGTCATAATATATTATCCAATAATCGTTATCGTTGTTCCTTTGATGTTGTAACTATTTTTTACTAAGTTTTTAATAATTGTTTTATTTAATGAAGTTAATGGTGTGCTTCTCAGCTACATTAATGCAACCATTTTGTACACAGCTGCACATAACTTGGAAAACGTGTAACATATTGCCCCTGCTTGGTTTCGGTTTGTTGCCACTAGATTTAACAGAAATATCCCAGCTATATGAAAGGGGTCTGTAAATTTTCGAGCATGGGCTAGACAATCCAGCGGCTGACATCATGAGCATCGATCTACGCATATGGGATACGATGCCAAGTGTCAACCAACTCATCATGCCCGATCACTCGATCCCGTCAGTCGCCTCTTATGACAAACATGAGTTGCTGAGGACTCGGAACTTCACAGGGAGAAACTAGCTTGTGAAATCAACATGACATAAAGAACACTATCTATCCACAGGAAATTCACGCATATTCACAGCGTGATGAGGTTACAGGTCGTGGCTATCGGGCTGACTTGGGGTGAGCGTCGGTAGAAATATTTCCTGTCAGACTTTAGTGAAACTGAATCTATTTTAAATCAAAGTTTCGTTCAAATCACATGCACATATCAAGAGTTTCTAAGGATTATGTTAGGAGAGTGTTGGTTTCACTCCTCTCAGTTTAGTAATATTGAAATACAAGGAAAATGTTTCTACTGATGTCGTGAAGTGACAAATGTGAATTTTGAAAACATATTTTCTAATGTCCATCTTAATGAAAAATGAAAAAAACCATCAGATAATTGTTTCATTTTCCATGTACATATGAAGCACCCGGGAATATTTTCGCTCTGGTTGTGTCAAGGGAAATGCATGGTGTTCACAAAAAGATGAGCGCCAAATGTGGAGCTGCTGAAATATTGCTTGACATAAAGGGAAAGTTTATTATTGGAAAGACCCTTACCTTTTAACAATACATTGTGGATCTTAAGTTTGATGTATATACATTCTCTTAACAATAACCGACTTGATAAATCGACTTTTATGTTAGTCTGTACATAGATCGCTATCAAGATGTATAGTAAAGATGTCTTTGTAAATACTTCTCAGCTATAATATGAATTCAAACTTCCTGTTCGTTATCCTGGTAGGTGTTATATTTGTATATGTTTTCTTGAAAGTTGTTGTCATTTCAGTCATGATGACCCGTACCTGATCCCATTAACCTCATAAATAGGTTACTATTTCTTGTACCCGTCGTCTCAAAATTGGTTTGGAAAAGAGACGCGGCGCCAAGACAATGCATCATTTGCTTATATTAATATAATATTAATCTTATTGAAGAGAAATAAATATGTGTAGCAAGATTGTTCAGTCCTCAAAACTACCTCCTCCTGTGTATTCTCACGCTTGGATCGAAGATGCGAAAGACGAAACAGAAGCTGTTTAATGTGGTGCGGACATCGTTTCAGAAAAAAAACATATGTGTAGGTCCTGTATCAGTATCGGTACATACAGGGTGCAGCAAGTTCAGCAAGAAACAATCCAACTGCACCGTGGCAGTGGTGAAGTCATCGGGCCATGTGACAGCTCTTCATAGTAAACATGGACGATTTTTGAAACGGACGACCACTTTTTTATATAAAGTTATTTTCTAAAACAAGGCACCCCACTCTCTAAATAAATTCATCAGTTACACACAGGTTAACTTTCCTTTTTTCACTTGTATTTCCCTGGTCTATTGGATTTATGTTATTGCTGTATTCATACACGCAACACTGTCTGTCATTATCATAATCTTCGGGTTCTGTTGAGGTTTCGTGTTTAGAAAGATCATTGTTAAACTCTAGTCTATCTGTGACAAAAGGCATAAAAATTCGATGAAATGTTTATGAGAATTTATAATTGCTAAGCCAAGCGTTTTTGAATGAGAAACGTAGTCTATGTTTCGAGGTTTACAGAGATGTCAGGAAAACGTTCATCGGGTGCTCTTTCAATGAAGCAATTGTTATTTTAAAAAGTAGCATTACACGTCTCGGACCACTTAAAAAGCATTGTAGAAATATAATAATAAAGTGCCCTTTTCATGTAGACTATATTTAAGTGTCCAAATATTAGAATTCTTTTATTTACTTAAAAACATAAGTATTAAGCATATGTTTGTGTTGGAATTTTTTTAAATGTCGATGGCCACATAAAACATCTTGTTGTATACATTCTTTAATTGTTCCTTATGTTGTGTTAATCATGGATTGTTGTATATAACAGAATAAACATTTGTTCAGATCGTTATTTTGTTAACTAATTCCTTAACAAATGCAGTTTGACTCATGGTCAGTGTACAAGTTGACATTATTCAGTGTCACAGCGACCTGTGTTATGTAGGTGACTACGCCCCTTAGTCCCTTAAAGACATAACAATGAAGCGGCGAGACACAGTCAGCAAGGTCACACACAATCGCGTCACGGTCACACACACTCAGTCAGGTTACACACAACCGCGTCACGGCCACACACACTCAGTCAGGTTACACACAGTCAGCATAGTCACACACAATCGCGTCACGGCCACACACACTCAGTCAGGTTACACACAGTCAGCAAGGTAACACACAATCGCGTCACGGCCAAACACACTCAGTCAGGTTACACACAGTCAGCAAGGTCACACACAATCGCGTCACGGCCACACACACTCAGTCATGTTACACACAGTCAGCAAGGTCACACACAATCGCGTCACGGCCACACACACTCAGTCAGGTTACACACAGTCAGCAAGGTCACACACAATCGCGTCACGGCCACACACACTCAGTCAGGTTACACACAGTCAGCAAGGTCACACACAATCGCGTCACGGCCACACACACTCAGTCATGTTACACACAGTCAGTAAGGTCACACACAATCGCGTCACGGTCACACACGCTCAGTCATGTTACACACAGTTAGCAAGGTCACACACACAATCGCGGCACGGTCACACACACTCAGTCATGTTACACACAGTCAGCAAGGTCACACACCCTCGCGTCACGGTCACACACACTCAGTCAGGTTACACACAGTCAGCAAGGTCACACTCAATCGCGTCACGGCCACACACACTCAGTCATGTTACACACAGTCAGTAAGGTCACACACAATCGCGTCACGGCCACACACACTCAGTCAGGTTACACACAGTTAGCACGGTCACACACAATCGCGTCACGGTCACACACACTCAGTCAGGTTACACACAGTAAGCACGGTCACACACAATCGCGTCACGGTCACACACACTCAGTCAGGTTACACACAGTCAGCAAGGTCACACACCATTGCTCCACCTCGACAGTAGACCAGGTCACACACAATCGCTGCACGGTGACAGTGAACCAGGTCACATACAATCCCGTAACGGCGACACACTCTTAGACAGGTCACACACCCTCACGTCACGGTGACACAGTCAGCCAGGTCACATGCCATCGCTGCACGGCGACACACAGTCAGTCAGGTCACACACAGTCGGCAAGGTTACACACAATCGCATCACGGTGACACACAGTCAGCCGGGTTACACACAGTCGGCAAGGTTACACACAATCGCGTCACGGTGACGCACAGTCAGCCTGGTCATAAAACAGTCAGACAAGTCACACACAATCGCTGCACGGGCACACACAGTCAACCATCCGACTATAGACAAGATTGGATTCCTAGGAATATTCAGGGAGAGACATGGCTTTACAACTGCATATCGCTGCATAAAATAAATAACCCGATTGTGGAATTAACCTATGAGTATATTTGTTGATTAACCTCGACTGAAATTCATTTACTCATGTTGCCGTTGACGATGTGACACACAGTCACTTTGGATCGAAAGGTGTAGCTATTTTGATGCAAGTTATACAATTTGATGTAAGTGCCACATAATTTAAGACAAATAAAACATCAAGGTAACCATGTACACATCTCAACATAGTGGTATTGTCACCTGACAGAAGGCTCTGGATACTGCACGTAGTGGATGAAGCGGCAGTACAATGAACAGTTCTCCACCAACCTTCCTTATGTCCCCCGGGCTAACAATACACCGGTATCATGTCAGGATCAAAACCTAATCAAGTGCAAAAAAATGTTTTAAACAGGTCAAATATATTTGCTGGATGTATTGCCGAATATATCCATGATCTAAAAATTAAATACACACCCATATATGTGTAAGGTATAACGTTGGGCAGTCAAGCTGTGTGTGCTGATCCCCTCAAACTCTGTACAGTTGCAAGTTAAGCAGTAGTTTGGCTTATCGCCATAGGTTCTTCTGAGCTTGACCTTGGAGATCATAACATCAGAAACAATGAGTTCTCATTTCACCAGCTGAGCGCTGTAACAAATCTCTCTTATTTGTTTTAATTAGAAACAACAGATAGTAGTTAACATGAATATACTGTTTGTGTTTATGAAACTGCTTTTAACTCAATAAAATCCACTTTCAATTCATTGTTTCTCGTTTCAATTACCAGCATGCCTGCAACAGAAATTTGTTGTTAGTTGTCTTAGTCCGTCTTAAATGTAGATACAGAAGTTGATATGGACGTTAACCATCAACATACAAGGAAGGCATACTATATCAATAACGTGTGTGTATGTATTCACATTTGACACCATCTAGGTGGAACTCACATTCTTTTTTTGTATGGTCAAACCTACGCTGTGTATGATACGTGGGCTACGAGTAAATGCAGATAATAAACCTGTCTGGAAATAAGCGTTTTAATTTGAAAGTTGCTAAAGGTGACGTGAAAGTCGATTTCTCACTGACTCGACTATACGCAGCATATCCATATCATGTATCAATGCTAGGGTGAAAAGTCAACTTTTAAGCACTAATGTCTTCTCACGTCAAGTTATCTAACTCTTGTTATTGTCAGTCCTTAATCACCAACCTCCTAAAAGACTAAACTGACGGACAAAAGAAAGTATACACCCATGTTTGATCGTGGCAGAGGCTGGAACAAGCAAGAAATGGTTATTCGATGGTGATGATGTATTTCATACGGGTGACGCACTTGTGTTCTGGAACTTAGGTTTGCAGCATTTCGGCGACTCTAGTAACGTTTTGATAACGTTTGTAATTCGTTTGGGTCAAATATAAACATATTCAAGTCCGACAGTTGACATCGAAAGGTTGTGACATGCATACATTACGTGAAACCCAAAGAGTTAGACGTCTAAATACTACCGAATTATCATGTGAATAAATTGGATATTACATGTTGAATACTATTTCAGTTATATCATTGCGTGTTAGCGTTTTAGCGTGTTAGCGTTTACTGCTTCTGGAGAAGCCTATGGCAAAGAATACACTACTTACACATCAAAGAACTTTTTTAAGTGGGTCATAGGAAGGATTCGAACCCTCGACTAGCATATTCTCGTACAGCTAAGGGGTGCAACTCTACATAGCGGATTGTGGCGTCTTGTGTTGTGCCTGTCATGATTATATACAACAAAGTTGAACTGTGACAAATATAAGCGACAAAATTCATTCTATACTCGATTGTGCGATGCCGACTATATTATCGGATGGGTTTATGAATCACTATTAATTAAGAATTATCAATATATATTCTTTTATCACAATTGTTCACCTCAATGGTTGTAGGCCTACATCTGTGCACAATTTTATTGAGAACGTGCGACGTCATGTTTACACTGATAGCTTTTCAAAAACAGCTGTATCGCGGAATAACATAGTTCCTCAAAAAGAGAGACATGAGCGTGTGTATGCACATCTTGCCCTTCAGAAACACCTGACAGAAGACTTGTATTCAAAAAATATCACCATTAGATGAGAAAGGATGAGATGAGGACTTTTAAGAACTACCTCAGTAAGTCAGTCAAAATGGCAGAGGATCATAATTATACATTTACATCAACTACAAGACGCCAAAATGGCCGACACGAAAACGTGACTTTGGAGATCTCGGAAGTTGTTAATGAACCTGTGGCGGCTGCATGTTTTAGTCATCATTTATCAATTGGCTGATCATTGAAAGAGGACAAAAGATGTATCAAATAGACACTAAGATAAATTCATAGATTGTTGTAGACTGTCACTGTTAGCCTAGACATGGATTGAGTCAATGCTATGATAGTTTGGATGTGCATTTCTTCGTTTTGTTCACTAGGATGAGTCGCAGCGAGGATATTCGTGAACGATCATGCAGTCAAACTATGAATTCAAGACGAAAGGGTCTCAATTAACATAAAGAACGCTTCTGTATGTATTCATGCTTCGGAATTGTAAGGGGTTCACACAGGAATGTGGAAGTAGTCCGTCAGCGTTTACGTCATTTCAAGAACATGGTCAATTCCGCAGTCATGAGGAAAAGCCGTATATCATGTAAACTTCAAATTTATAAATTATTATATTGATAAGACCAGGTGTTCGCGGAATGGAGATCCTATCCTGCTCCACTTTGAAAAAACACGGGAACATCAAAATAGAAATCATATGTGTCACTGATGAGTCAAATTTGCATAATGTCCTCAATACATCAGCTGTAAAACCTTTTGAAAGCTGTATTTGGGACTTGAATGTTGTAAATCTGATCAAACAAGGCTGGAGCTGCTGTAAATTTGCACGACATAAAGGCAAAGTTGACTATTGGAACGTTGAAGTCATGCCATGTCATACAGTCTTGTGGATAGTTTTTGTCACTCTATATCTTTATGCAAAGTTCTAAGTAAAAACAGAATATTGTACATGGACTGCCAGGGACGAGCTCTTTGCAAAATGTTACAAATTCAAATATCTTCTCAAATATCTCATCCGTACGTGTGCGTGTGCGTGTGCGTGTGCGTGTGCGTGTGCGTGTGCGTGTGCGTGTGCGTGTATGTCTGTTTGTACTACTCCGGACTAATGTGGTGTGTATATTCTAGCCCACTGAGATACCGTGCGGCAGTTTCACATAGACACAACACACAAACACAGTATACAGACTCCAAGCCGACCAGTAGTTGCTCCAGCCAGGGTCACAGCGAGTACCATCTTCTCACGTCTTTTACTATGACCCGGCCGGGGATCGAGACACTGAACTTCCGCTCTCCATCATTTTGTGCAATTCCGGCAGCACAGTATTATAATTGAATTGAATTTATGGTATCATAGTAGCTTGAGGGAGTTGCTACTTTCATAGAATACTTATGGTATGTGATAATTGATAACAGATGATTGCAATAGTTCACTTAAAAAAGAATTTGTCAGAATATATGGTCACATGCCCATCCCTGTCATCATGAAAATATACGGTAACGTTATTAAAAACTTGGAAGCAAATTTCAAACTTTTTATGCCATGCTTAAAATGTGTATAGCTACATATATCTTTCTTCCTTGTTGATAATTTCAGTTTCTGTGATAAATCTATTCCGCATTCTGTGCAGGGAAACGGTTAAATCAGTATACACACACAGCGTCTGGTTATTATTTCTCTGTTGCTTATATTGCACTCAGGACGCTGTATATGCAGAAAACATGAAGGTTGGTGCTGTACATTATGCTTCTTAAGATATGGTTTCTTCTTACGTTTGATTACTTGATTGTGAAGTATTGCTTCCTTCTTGCATTGTGTTGGCGGTCGGGTAGCCTAGTGGTTAAAGCGTTGGATCGTCACCCCGAAGACCCGGGGAAGCCCATTTCTGGTGTCCCCCGCCGTGATATTGCTGGTATATTGCTAAGAGTGGCGTAAAACCATACTCACTCACTTAATGCATTACGATTTAAAGCTGGCCATGAATACACTGCCCGTAGTCATAGCGTGCGAAATGAACAGCGTTGAACAACCTCAGTCTGTTATTTCAAGTTTATTGCATCATTGTGTTTGGTTGATGCTGGTGATTAATTATTGTGTCTTGTCACGTCCTTCAATCTGTGCAGTGAGATGAGCCATTATCATCTGAAATCATCATGTAAAATAAACTGCCTTTCAGGTGTGGGTTGTGCTCTTCGTGTCTGTATGCATGCTGGTGGAAACCGAGTCCGGTCTTGCTAAAGGTACATCACTCTGCATGTCATTGTGTCAAAAAATACATCCATAGTCTCCAGGATCTATTGTCCTGTAGAGGCTGCAAAAAGCAAAGTCATAACAGTAACGTTAAAGTAATACATGTGAGGTGAAATGGGGTTTAACGACGCTTCGCAGATTATTGCACTTATATAACGACGTGCATGCACGTGTGTGTGTTTGTGTGGCTGCTTGTTCTGGTCCGGACTGATGCCGATTTATAGTGCTAGCTCACTAAGATACCATGCCGCAGTTTGACATGAATACCCTGACTCCGAGCCGACCAGTCCTTGTTTTAGCCCCTTAATGCCGAGCGCCAGACAGGGTAACAACAAGTACCATCTTTTAGCGTCTTTTGGTATGACGCGGCCGGGGATCGAACCCAGGCCCTTCCGCTCTCCGGGCGAACGCTCTACCTCTTGACTACGGAGGCGGTCTAAAGTAATACAGACTCTGGCTGTTGTCCTTTTGACTTCAACATCAATATATCTTCCACATGATTTTGTATGGTTAATATCTTTCAGACAATTCAAAATGTTAGGATGCATTAGCTTTGTGTAAAGGCGTCAACTGTGACAGCCCTGGTATGGCAGATGCGTGCCCGGTGACGTGTGGACGCTGAAACCCCACAGGTTTAATGTTTTCTTCTTTCTGATGTAGTGGGGCCATATGAATGTACATCGAACCTGAACTAAACTGAGAGGCAAAAGAAAGTATACCGAGTTTGCTCTTGGAACTGAAACATGAAAGAACCTTTGCTTAATTTGATTATGTCTATTTAACAATCACTCATTCCTGCAACGCTTTAAACCTAAATTGCTTCAATGTAGGCTGGGGTAAGAAATATATTTGCAACCACATGACCAGTACCATGTTTGAAATATAAATGTGTGCCGACGAAAGCAAATATATTGATTTTCTAAGATATGATGTCTAAGATATCCATCAGCAGTTGTGTATTTAACGAATGTAACTTTTTAATATATACTTCAGTGTGAAAGACTGAGTTTTCCGAAGTTGAGAAAAGTGTTATTTTCATTGCAGTGAACATAACACTTGATATTTCACAGCAGTGAACTCAACACTTGATATTTCACTGCAGTGAACATAACACTTTGACGGAACCATTGTCATACGAGAGTTACCTCCCCCTAAATGTCTCCCTTTGTCGTAAGTGACTAGCTCGTATACAAACTACTGACGTTCTTTTTGACGTGAGGTCCACATTGACAAGGCAAAATAATGACAGACGGTGGTTTATGGAGTTAATGTCACTTCTTGCTGTTTGTTATTCTCTCGAAAATGTTTCCTTATAAACTGTAAATTTCTCATTTGACTTGTCAATCGAGCTGTTCGTTTGCAAAGCGACATTTTTATTACTTGACAAGAGTGTATTCTTTAGCTTCCAACAGCGGTCTCCTAGTGTTCAAGAATAATCATATTTAAATTTATTATACAGAATTTTCGTGACCCTAAATATTATTTAACACTATTGTTTATATTTTTAAAGATTTTGCAAACACGAAACTACTTTTTAAGTCGCAAAAACAAAGGGTGATAAACCGTCCCTGTGTGTTACTTGTTGCCGTTTGTTATTCTCTCGGAAATGTTTCCTTGTCAATCGAGACTGTTCGTTTTGCAAAGGGACATTTTTATTACTTGACAAGCATGTTTTCTTTCGCTTTCAACAGCGGTCTCCTAGTTTTCAAGAATATTTTTTGTTAAAGTTGATTATGTTTATAATCATATTTAAATTGATCACATCATCAGCTATCAATACCATTAAATGTTTTGGATGAACATCATGCTTGATACTATTTGTTTACGAAAAGTTAAAACAACAGTTAATTCAACGTTCGAGTTGTCTTTAAACTACATTAACAACCATGACATGTCAAAGCTCTAAAAAAAATTATCAAATGTATTTCATCACTGTTTACTGTTTACTTTTTTAATCACCAACTATACTTCATTTGGTATATATGCTAACTGTGCGAAGAGGGGAATATTCTGTGACTAGTTCGAAGGCTGGTTTTTGCAGCCCAAATCGTTCAGACGGAGGTTTACACAACTGCACTTGGCATACTCTTACTCAAATACATCATCGAGTATAAAATCTAACAACATTATCAATGAACTTGAGATTTAGTTGGCTTAATGCCACGAAAATAACGTTCTTCTATTTTGTAGACTGTGGACCTGGTATGTACTGGAATGGCACCACTTGTGCGCAATGCTTGGATGGGCTGCCTGCTGAAAACAAGGGAAGTTGTCCATGTACCATAACAGGCAGATGGGGATCAAAGTGTGAACATCAGTGCAACAAAGGGTGTTCGGGTGGTACATGTCACCCACTGTCTGGAGAATGTGAAAACTGTACACGGGACAGGTATAGCAAGTTCTGTAATGACATATGTGCTGCCAACTGTAATAACTGTACAGATACATCCTCAAACTGTCACCGAACAACTGGAACCTGTCTGTGTGGTTGTAGACCAGGCCTCTATGGAGGTACATGTGAACAACGCTGCCATGCCAACTGTAGATTCAAGACATGTAATTCCTCTGGAATCTGTGTTGATGGTTGTAAGGAAGGATACTTCGGACCAAAATGTGATAAAAACTGTGGAGAATGTGTTAATCAATCTTGTTCAAGAATAGGCACATGTTTGAAAGGTTGCAACAGTGGATGGCACGGTTTGAAATGCAACACCCCCTGCAGTTACAACTGTGAACATTCAAACTGCCAACAGAACGGAACGTGCATGGCGTGCTTGGGTGGGTTTCATGGCGACTCATGCAACAAAAACTGTTCTGCTGGATGTGCCACGAGACAGTGTAACAGGGATGGTAGTTGTCAATGTAAAAAGACGAATTTCGGCCAACAGTGTCTCAATACCTGCAGTGTAACGTGCCTTAATACAAGTTGTAGTCAGACCTCTGGGGAATGTGACTATGGTTGTGTATCGGGCTGGTATGGAGCCACGTGTAGTGCTACATGTCCGGACAACTGTTCTGCTGGTACATGCAACAGAGATGGTGGATCGTGCCTATCTTGTAGGGAGGGATTCAGAGGAACACACTGTAACATGTCATGTCCTCCACATTGTGTTGAATGTCAGCAGAATGCCAGTCACTGCACATCATGTGAACCTGGTTATTTTGGAAACACGTGTGTAAAAGAGTGCGACGGTTGCCTGGATGGGAGGTGTAATATCACAGATGGGTTGTGCATAGCCGGCTGTAAACCTAGCTTGTATGGACGAGAATGCCAGTACAACTGCAGCAGAAATTGTTTGAGGCAAAATGGTGCCTCGTTGTGTTTTCAAAGTAACGGAACCTGTGTTTACGGTTGTAACACGGGATGGTACAAGGCAGAGTGTGATACTCCATGTCCACCAGGGTGTAGCGGGACTACGTGTGATGACTTCACTGGCAGATGTTCAAATGGTTGCACAGACGCACTGTATGGTCCACACTGTAATCAGTCATGTCGCTGTCTGATGTCCCGATGTAACGCGGCGGGCTTATGTACGGGGTGTCAGAATGGCTACTATGGCCAGAGCTGTTCTACAACATGTCCATCGAGATGTGATACCTGTGAGCAGAACACCGGCGACTGTGTTACTTGTGTGGAAGGCTGGCACGGCCACCTGTGCAAAGGTAAGAAGAGTGATATGCTGATATTGGAGTCAAGACTTAGTTGTTCAACTACTGATTGATCATTTCTGAAAAGGTTTAAAATTTACATTCAGGATATTGTCCTGTTTATTTTAAGTCATCGACAATAAGGCCCAGATGGACCCATATTGTCATCTCTGCGTCTGTACTTTGTCATTTAAGCTAAAGGGCCTGTCACACACTACCGATGTACCTTGCCGGCGGAGCTCCGGCGAGAAAGCACTTGAAAAATCAAAATTATTAGTAGCAATACCGATGTAGTACCGGCGTTCCCGTTGTTCTACCTTTGTCCTACCCATGTAAGAGCCGATGTGCTACAGAATACCACTTTTCTGTCACCTTAGTGTTACCGATGCGCCGCCGATGTTATACCGATGTACCACCGTTGACCGGAGCTATAGCGGAGTCATACCGTTGCGCTGCCGATGCACTACCGATGTGCTACCGATGTACATCGGCAGGACAACGGTGTGACGGTGGAGCTCCGGTATCACATCGGCGGCGCATCGGTACTACTTCGGTGGCATTCGGTAGTACTACGGTATCACATCGGTACCAATACGGTACACATTGAGGCCAACGGGGAGCGCCGATCCATTACGGGGCGCTACCGGTGCTCTACCGACATTAACGAAGCCATACCGGAGTACTGCCCTTGAAGTCCCGGTGTACTCCCGTTGCTCGCTCTGGTAGCGCAACGGCGGAAATATTGAGCATGTTTAAATTTTCTACCGTCGCCTGCCGTTTTCGCCGATGTTCTGACGATGTCCTGAGGGTGTACTACCGTCCCAGCGATGTGATACCGTTGCGCTGCCGTACTGGTACCGATCCCCGAAAATCGCCAAATTTGTGCTCCGGTATAGCTCCGGCGACCCAAATCGTCCAGGTGGGACAGGCCCTTAAGCGAGTAAAATCAGGCTCAACCTCGCCTCAGACATATAAGGACATGTCAGCAGTATGTTGGAAGAAAGACTTGAAGTGATGCGGGTCTTAGACGTTTTCCACAGTGGTGAAACCCATGACCTGCCGAAACCTACAAAACATTAGTAGTGTGAAGTGTTATTCGAATCCACGTTCATAGGTTTCTGGCACGCTTGCGACTCCTTAGATAACTTCTCCCATTCCCTCTTCAACCTCAACACTCACCCTCACCTTCACTCTCACCCTCAACACTCACCCTCACCTCACCCTCACCCTCGCCCTCAACACTCACCCTCACCCTCAACACTCACCCTCACCTCACACTCACCCTCGCCTTCACCACTCGCCCTCACCCTCAACACTCACCCTCACCTCACACTCACCCTCGCCTTCACCACTCGCCCTCACCCTCAACACTCACCCTCGCCCTCGCCCTCACCCTCGCCCTCGGTCTCGCACTCGGTCTCATACTCACACTCACCCTCACCCTCACCCTAATCCTCGCCCTAACACTCACCCTCGCCCTCCCTTCATCCCTGATCCAACTCCTACTCCCACCTCCAGCTTCAATCCTATATCGACACATTGAACTAAGTCTTTTCTGTTCATAATTACATTATTACATAGCTGAGGTATCCTGCCTTATTCCGAAACATATTGATCTTTGTCATATAATGGGTAGGTTTCTCGGCAGGATAAAGCCAACGGATAAAAACGATATCCCTTGGGGTCATATGCGGATAGAGATGCAAACATCAAAGGTCAAGTAGGGACTTGGCCGAAATATATTTGAATTGTTACCTTGTTTCGTTTTGTCGCTGTGTGTACATCTGACTACACTTCTTAACGTTATGACAGGACAGACCGACTGTCAACAACGTCTGATCGTGGCCGTGACGTCTCATAGACTAGGGTTAGAGTAGCTTTCCTTTGGCAGGGCAGTTACTCTAGCGGACAGACCGATGGATTGCCGCGAAAGGCACATTAAAAACAATTGTTGTTTTGCGTATATGTTGCTTCGCCACTGGATAAGAAACAGATTTCAGTTGGAACTATATTGGCTACTGTCACTGTCTGACTGACACATCACTTACCCTATGACGTAATAAATATTAATGCGCGCATTCCAGGAAAACTCGCAATGTTTCGGTAATGTTTGTGAGAGCACAGAATTAAAGAATGACATTATATGATAAAGAGGTTATCACGCTTGTGTGTTTGGGGATGGTAAATATCCTGTATTAGGAATAGACACTATGTATTTAGCTCGCCAAGGCTCACTAAATACAATGTTTATTCCTAATGCAGGATATTTACCATCCCCAAACATACTCGCGTGATAACCTCTATGTATATTAACTGTTGTGAATTATGTACCCTCACTAATTTGTTTAGCTACATGAATGTTCCACTTTTTCAGTGTCATACGTACAGTCACTTCGTCACCGGGTCCGTGTTTTGTCAACATGCATTGGAGTTTTCCTCTTTGGTGTTGGAATTGTAGTGGCCTTCATTATCATCAGGTAATACATCCTTTGTTCTTATACACAAGAATGTCCAGCAGTGCATGAAGAATAAGTAACCTAAGTATCTGCAGGTATAGACTGAAGAATGCATTGAAATGTATCCCTGAACATTAAAATTAATGTTTCAACATGGTCAATCTCATAGCTTGGTGGGAATAAAATGTCTTTTATTAACAGTAGATCCTAATTGGTACTTCAGATACTTGGTCGTGACTTATATTGCTAATTAATGAATTTGATGTTCCAGAAAAAAGTGCACTCGATCTCCAAGGGGCATTTATCTCTCCCCTGTCCGAACTGACCATCTTGATTCGGATGACATTTCACTCCAAGAGTTCAGCGAGGACGGTGAAAGTGGACAATCTCACTATGAAACTATTCCAGACGATTCCCTGGGAGGATATGAGGCGCTTACACCTTCAACTTCACGTACTTCCGGGTACACAGCTCTGCCGCCGTCGCTTGATAATGTCCGGGTGACAGGGGTCTAATTATTCTATCTGTTTCATACTTTGAGTTGTGTGTTGAGTTTCTATTTGTCGTTCGGTCTTTTGCCTGCCACATATTGAAACCGGCGTTGACTATAGTAAACGCATAGGGCCGATGTTTAAAATACTCACTTACCTGTTCTATCAAGTCGGATGACTTCACTCATAGCCTTTTCAGAGCGGAGAGTGGAAGGTCCGACGTCCGATCACCGGACGCACGTCGCTATAAAGGTGCGGCATTAAACCCAGTTTCACCTCACCATCCTTTAGTTCTCTCCACGAATGTATTGGACCACGAGCCTGTATATATCTATACATTGCTTATAAGGTGCAAAACTTTGCTTCAATCTCCCCATATATGTGTAAGGTATAACGTTGGGCAGTCAAGCTGTATGTGCTGATCCCCTAAACTGTACAGTTGCAAGTTAAGCGGTAGTTTAGCTTATCGCCATAGGTTCTTCTGAGCTTGACCTTGGAGATCATAAACCAGAAACAATGAGTTCTCATTTCACCAGCCGAGCGCAGTAACAATTCCATTTTATTTGTTTTAATTAGAAACAACAGTAGTTAACATGAATATATTGTTTGTGTTTATGAAACTGCTTTTAACTCAATAAAATCAACTTTCAATACATTGTTTCTTGTTTCAATTACCAGCATGCATGCAACAGAATTTTGTATTCAATAGTCTTTGTCCGTCTTAAATGTAGATACAGAAGTTGATACAGATGACACACGTTAACCATCAACATACAAGGAAGGCATACTATATCAATAACGTGTGTGTATGTATTCACATTTGACACCATCTAGGTGGAACTGTCATTCTTTTTTTGTATGGTCAAACCTACGCTGTGTATAATACGTGGGCTACGAGTAAATGCAGATAATAAACCCCTCTGGAAATGAGCGTTTTAATTTGAAAGTTGCTAAAGGTGAAGTGAAATTCAATTTCTCACTTACTCGACTATACGCAGCATATCCATATCAGGTATCAATGCTAGGGTGAAAAGTCAACTTTTAAGCACTAATGTCTTCTCACGTCAAGTTATCTAACTCTTGTTATTGTCAGTCCTTAATCACCAACCTCCTAAAAGACTAAACTGCCGGGCAAAAGAAAGTATACACCCATGTTTGATCGTGGCAGAGGCTGGAACAAGCAAGAAATGGTTATTCGATGGTGATGATGTATTTCATACGGGTGACGCACTTGTGTTCTGGAACTTAGGTTTGCAGCATTTCGGCGACTCTAGTAACGTTTTGATAACGTTTGTAATTCGTTTGGGTCAAATATAAACATATTCAAGTCCGACAGTTGACATCGAAAGGTTGTGACATGCATACATTACGTGAAACCCAAAGAGTTAGACGTCTAAATACTACCGAATTATCATGTGAATAAATTGGATATTACATGTTGAATACTATTACAATTATATCACTGCGTGTTAGCGTAATATGACAGCGTTTACTGCTTCTGGAGAAGCCTGTGGCAAAGAATACACTACTTACACATCAAAGAACTTTTTAAGTGGGGCACAGCAAGGATTCGAACCCTCGACTAGCATATTTTCGTACAGCTAAGGGATGCAACTCTACACAGCGGATTGTGGCGTCTTGTGTTATGCCACATGAACATGACCTGTCATGATTATATACAACAAAGTTGAACTGTGACAAATATAAGCGACAAAATTCATTCTATACTCATAAGAAATCTCTGCCAAAAACAAAGACGATTGTGCGATGCCGACTATATTATCGGATGGGTTTATGAATCACTATTAATTAAGAATTATCAATATATATTATTTTATCACAATTGTTCACCTCAATGGTTGTAGGCCTACATCAGTGCACAATATTATTTAGAACGTGTGACGTCATGTTTACACTGATAGCTATACAAAAACAGCTGTATCGTTGAATAACATAGTTCCTCAAAAAGAGAGACATGAGCGTGTGTATGCACATCTTGCCCTTCAGAAACACCTGACAGAAGACTTGTATACAAATCATATCACCATTAGATGAGAAAGGATGAGATGAGGACTGTTAAGAACTACCTCAGTAAGTCAGTCACAATGGCAGAGGATCATAATTATACATTTACATCAACTACAAGACGCCAAAATGGCCGACACGAAAACGTGACGTTGGAGATTTCGGAAGTTGTTAATGGACCTGTGGCGGTTGCATGTTTTAGTCATCACTGATCAATTGGCTGATCATTTAAAGAGGACAAAAGATGTGTCAAATAGACACTAAGATAAATTCATAGATTGCTGTAGACTGTCACTGTTAGCCTAGACACGGATTGAGTCAATGCTATGATAGTTTGGATGTGCATTTCTTCGGTTTGTTCACTAGGATGAGTGGGAGCGAGGATATTCGTGAACGATCATGCAATCAAACTCTCTGACGTTTCTCAATCCATACTAAAACTCTGAATTCAAGATGAAAGGGTCTCAATAATCAGAAAAAACGCTTCTGTGTGTATTCATGCTACGGAATTGTAAGGGGTTCCAACAGGAATGTGGAAGTAGTCCGTCAGTCTTTACGTCATTTCAAGAACACAGTCAATTCCGCAGTCATGTGGAAAAGCCGTATATCATGTAAACTTCAAATGTATAACTTATTATATTGATAAGACCAGGTGTTCGCGAAATGGAGAACCTATCCTGCTCCATTTTTAGAAAAGACACGGGAATCATATTTGTCACTGATGTGTTCAACAAGGCTGGAGCTGCTGTAAATTTGCATGACATAAAGGCAAAGTTGACTATTGGGACGTTGAAGTCATGCCTCTTGTCATACAGTCTTGTGGATTAGCTTGGTGTAAAGGCGCCAACTGTGACAACCCTGGTATGGCAGATAAGTGCCCGGTGACGTGTGGACGCTGCAAAACAACAGGTTTAATGTTTTCTTCTATCTGATGTAGTAGAGCCATGTGAATGTACATCGAACCTGAACTAAACTGAGAGGCAAAAGAAAGTATACCGAGTTTGCTCTTGGAACTGAAACATGAAAGAACCTTTGCTTAATTTGATTATGTCTATTTAATCACTCATTCCTGCAACGCTTTAAACCTAAATTGCTTCAATGTAGACTGGGGTAAGAATCATATTTGTCACCGATGTGTTCAACAAGGCTGGAGCTGCTGTAAATTTGCATGACATAAAGGCAAAGTTGACTATTGGGACGTTGAAGTCATGCCTCTTGTCATACAGTCTTGTGGATTAGCTTGGTGTAAAGGCGCCAGCTGTGACAACCCTGGTATGGCAGATAAGTGCCCGGTGACGTGTGGACGCTGCAAAACAACAGGTTTAATGTTTTCTTCTATCTGATGTAGTAGAGCCATGTGAATGTACATCGAACCTGAACTAAACTGAGAGGCAAAAGAAAGTATACCGAGTTTGCTCTTGGAACTGAAACATGAAAGAACCTTTGCTTAATTTGATTATGTCTATTTAACAATCACTCATTCCTGCAACGCTTTAAACCTAAATTGCTTCAATGTAGACTGGGGTAAGAATCATATTTGTCACTGATGTGTTCAACAAGGCTGTAGCTGCTGTAAATTTGCATGACATAAAGGCAAAGCTGACTATTGGGACGTTGAAGTCATGCCTCTTGTCATACAGTCTTGTGGATAGTTTTTGTCACTCTGAAGTTCTAAGTAAAAACAGAATATTGTACATGAACTGCCAGGAACGAGCTCTTCGCAAAATGTTACAAATTCAAATATCTTCTCAAATATCTCACCCGTGCATGTGCGCGTGCGTGTGCGTGTGCGTGTGCGTGTGCGTGTGCGTGTGCGTGTGCGTGTGCGTGTGTGTCTGTTTGTATTACTCCGGACTAATGTGTTGTGTATATTCTAGCCCACTGAGATACCTTGCGGCAGTTTCACATTGACACAACACTCAAGCACAGTATACAGACTCCAAGCCGACCAGTAGTTGCTCCAGTCAGAGTTACAGCGAGTACCATCTTCTCACGTCTTTTACTTTGACGCGGCCGGGGATCGAGACACTGAACTTCCGCTCTCCATCATTTTGTGCAATTCCGGCAGCACAGTATTATAATTGAATTGAATTTATGGTATCATGGTAGCTTGAGACAGCTGCTATTTTCATAGAATACTTATGGTATGTGATAATTGATGACAGAGGATTGCAATAGTTCACAAAAAGCATTTGTCAGAATATATGGTCACATGCCCATCCCTGTCATCATGAAAATATACGGTAACGTTATAAAAAACTTGAAAGCAAATTCCTGCTTTTTTATGCCATGCTTAAAATGTGTATAGCTACATATATATTTCTTCCTTGTTGATTATTTCAGTTTCTGTGATAAATCTATTCCGCATTCTGTGCAGGGAAACGTTTAAATCAGTATACACACACAGCGTCTGGTTATTCTTTCTCTGTTGCTTATTACTCTTAGGACGCTGTATATGCAGAAAACATGAAGGTTGGTGCTTTACATTATGATTATTTAGATGTGGTTTCTTCTCACGTTTGATTACTTGATTGTGAACTATTGCTTGCTTCATGCATTATGTTGGCGGTTGGGTAGCCTAGTGGTTAAAGCGTTCGATCGTCACCCCGAAAACCCGGGAAGCCCATTTCCGGTGCCCCCCGCCGTGATATTGCTGGTATATTGCTAAGAGCGGCGTAAAACCATACTCACTCACTTAATGCATTATTATTTAAAGCTGGCCATGAATACACTGCCCGTAGTCATAGTGTGCGAAATGAACAGCTTTGAACAACCTCAGTCTGTTATTTCCAGTATATTGCATCATTGTGTTTAGTTGATGCTGGTGATTTATTATCGTGTCTTGTCACGTCCTTCAATCTGTGCAGTGAGATGAGCCATTATCATCCGAAATCATCATGTAAAATAAACTGCCTTTCAGGTGTGTATTGTGCTCTTCCTGTCTGCATGCATACTGGTGGAAGCCGAATCCGGTCTTGCTAAAGGTACATCACTCTGCATGTCATTGTGTCAAAAAATACATCTATAGTCTCCAGGATCTATTGTCCTGTAGAAACTGCAAAAAGCAAATTCATAACAGTAACGTTAAAGTAATACATGTGAGGTGAAATGGGGTTTAACGTCGCGTCCAAGATTATTGCACTTATATAGCGACGTGCATGTACGTGTGTGTGTTTGTGTGGCTGCTTGTTCTAGTCCTGACTGATGCCGATTTATAGTGCTAGCTCACTGAGATACCATGCCGTGGTTTAACATAAATACCCCACTCAGACACAGTATACTGACTCCGAGCCGACCAGTCCTTATTTTAGCCCCTTAATGCCGAGCGCCAGACAGGGTAACAACAAGTACCATCTTTTAGCGTCTTTTGGTATGACGCGGCCGGGGATCGAACCCAGGACCTTCCGCTCTCCGGGCGAACGTTCTACCTCTTGACTACGGAGGCGGTCTAAAGTAATACAGACGCTGACTGTTTTCCTTATGACTTCAACATCAATATATCTTGCACATGATTTTGTTTGGTTAATATCTTTCAGACAATT